CTCTACTATATATATATATATATATATATATATATATATATATAAGAGATGATCCTTTGTGTTAGACCTTATGGAGTGGGAGTTTTTCCGAAGGAGTAATTTGATGTGAACGTCGAATATGTTTATTTTATGTTCTAATTTATACTACATAATTTAATAAAATACAAAAATTAAGGAAGAAATGAAATTTGTTGTATAAAATAAACTTTAAAAGAAGGGTATCTCATAAATCAGAATCAAAAGGAACTAATTTTTTAGCCATGGATTATGCATACTTAAAATAGTAATACCTCTATCCTTTTATTCGTTGACATTTTTCATATTCATAATTAGTAATAATATTAAAATTCAAATCTTCTTGTTTGTATTTATTCTAACATTAGTGGAACTCTAGTCCATGGAATACCTTTCCTCTTCTTTTTTTTTAAAAGCATATTGGATCCATTATCTTTGTAGATTAGCTGGGAAAAGTCCTTATTATAAGACATGTGAATTATTGTTAAATATCAAATAGTTTTATTTTGTTACATTTGTTGGGAACAACTCGATCGGCCACGTAAAAGTCATTCTTGGTCTTAAAAAGTAGTGTGTCTTGTTTTAATTTATTTTTAAAAAATTTGATTAGACATAGAAAAAATATAATTTTAATATTGAAAATTTAAAAAGGTACTTCACACGGAATTTCACATTCTTGGTCTTAAATCCGTTTATTTTAAAACATATTATAAACAAAAAGACAAAAACATTACAATAAAATGAGTATAAAACATTAGTAGTATATTAAGATTAATGTAAAAGTAAACAAATTATTATATGGCAATTCTCTAAATATAAAAAGTTTAAATAATTGACCTCAACTAGTTTGGAATAAACTCGTTATGCTGTTATACTTTTTATGAGCTAATACTTCAAATAATCAAATTAGAAGAGAAATTAGTTTTTGTCCAATTACTTATCTTGGTGAAAAGTAAGAAAATAAAATGTTAATTTTGTGGTTACTTCAGAGTCACTACTCAAGTGTTCTTCAATATTAATGACCAAATAGCTAATATAATATAACTTTTAGCTATTTTCTTAAATTTAATTTTGTTATCTTATAAAAGATGAGACTGGAGTAAGTTTGTGCTTATGGAAATATAAATAAATAAATACATCAAGCTCATTTTATATTGCATATATCCTCTTTGCCCCCTTTTATTTTGGCTTGACTATATATATATTATGAACAAGTTGAAATATATGTTGGTTAATTATATAATAAGTCGTGAGCATGTGTGGTCTCATAAATTAAGGGTAACGTGCATACTCGTTACAAATATTAATTATAACTATCATTTTTGAGTCTTGTTTGGAATTCTTAAATTTTAGCGAAAGACGGATACAATTGTAAAATTAAAAATTTTATTAAAAATATTTATATTTGATATCAATTTTTATATAGAAAGGATAATATTTCGATGAATAGGATTCTATTGATCACCTGTATACCTATGCTACTTAATTGATTTTTTATAGGAAAAAAAAAGGTAAATAGTATATAGTAGGTGGACCAAACAAACCTTATAGTGTGTACGGGACTGCTTGGTCAAAGTCATTTCTTAGGGTTTCAGTCCAAATGGTACAATACAGATTTTAAGTTTAAATAAATAAAGAACCTACAATAAAGAAGAAGGTATCTTCTATTTTTTTAAAAGAAAAATAAAAATATTAAAATGACAAGTGAGCAACAATAATACAATGTTTTGATAAGAATGTGTTGCTATCATCCCCTCTAAGGTCCAACTGTTCAATTTTATTATATTTTTTTAGCATTTGTAGTTCTAGTTTTGGCTGTTGGATGTTCTTATAGTTTATGGTTAATGTGTCCTTTCATTTTGCCAAATATAAGATTTGCCATTGTACTTTGAACCTCTTTTTTTACCCCTTCTCAGGATGTTGTTACATCTTTTTTATTTTTTGATAATTTAAACTTGTAACTTTAAGATTGAAAATGAGGATCGCTTAGCATTCGAGCGATTTCATTTTTCCAACTCTTTAAGATCATTTCCGATTCAACACCAAATTTTATATCAAATCACAATTTAGTGTTTTGAGCTCCAACTCATACCAATTTTTACATCAAATTTGGTGTGAATAGTGTTACATCAAATTTGGTGTAATATTATTCATCACACCAATTTACTTTTTGAATATTTTAATACTATTTTATCATACAAAATTTTAGTTAAAATATTATATATAAATGGTATGTTTTAATAAAATCTCTTGTATATTTAATTATTTTTTATGTAATATATTTATAATATTAATGTTAGATATAAAATTAAATTTTTTTTATAATTTTTTTTTTCTATATATGACTTTTTTAAAAAATTAAGAAGTGACACATGATATAATTAACTTCATGTATTATAATATACAACATGATAATTGGGGATAAGCGTGATCTTAATGCACCAATTAAAGACGAGTCAGAAGGCCCAGCTCCGACCGTAGAAATGGCAAGAGATGAAAACTATCAATTTCAACAATTTCTAACTCGATATAAAAAATAAAGGACAAAGAATTTCATTCTGAACCACCTAATGCGTTAATAGATCATTTATGCTAGCACCATAGTGATCTTAAAGTTGAATATTTATGTATAATTAAAAATATTTTTTTCAATTATGTAATATTTATTTAATTTTATTTCATTAATGATTTCACATTTATCTATATTATCCAGTATTATGTATAATGTATAATATTTGCTAGCAATTTATATTATTTAAAAAATTATTGTACAAAATAATTTTATAAACAATTATAAAAGGAAATAATATGAATTATAGATGGTGAATGTTTTAGAAAAAAATTATTTTATGAAATAAGAAAATATAAATGAAATAAGAAATAATAATATAATAATAAAAAGAAAAAAAATATTTTTTTGGTGCAAAATTTGGTGCAGTTTGGAGCTGATTACACCAAAATAATACTGACATCAAATTTGATGTAAAATTTAATGTTTGAATTAGAGATGCTCCGAAAGCTAGAAATATGAACCTTATTTTCACACCAATCATATTTTTTCCATTTTCATATTCACATTACACCTTATTTTTTTAGGATAATTTTACTATAAAAAAACTTATTTGAAAACGAGGCAAAAACGGGGTCATGTGGAGCCACCCTCCCCGTTGTCTTAACCTTAATACACTCACCCTTTTCCAAAGAAAATTAAAATAAAAAGGAAATTAAGAAGTATTGCTATGTGACGGCCAAAAAGATATAGTAAGTCTAACTTCGAAACTAAATTAGCATAATCACTAGTATTTTTGTTTAATAACTTAAAAAGACGGAAGATATTTAGTTATTCTCGTAAGTTTGAAACTATTCAATTCACAACTTAAAGGTATGAAGTACTTAAGTTATATTGTATGTATATGAGACTAACATTTAAATCTTTCGAGAGTTAAATCGATCCAAACAAATTCCAAAATTTAAATTAAGACCTGAAAATAAATCTTGATTTTTTAAAAAAATTAAGACGTTTGAATTATTAGTTTTTGTGAGCCAATTTTTCTAATTTGATATTTTGTTTATAATTCAAGGTGTTTATTTCATTCGTAATATTCTATGTAATTACACAATCTGGTCATTTTTATATGAAACAAAATTTTCTAACAAAAACCTAAGAAAATAAATTTTATAAATAATTTTTTATCCTTATTATCTTGTTCTCATTTAGTGACAGTCAGAAATTTTATCGAGAAGTATATATATATATATATATATATATATATATATATATATTTCCATAAAAATGTTATCGTCGTAATTATAGGTAAGTAAGAAAATGAAGGCCAAAAGGTCGTACTCCTAATTACTTGGGGATTAAGTTGATTTAATTGCCTGAAGATGGGGAACTTTCTACT